GGATTTGGAGATTCAGGGGTATCGGTTAAGAAGAGGTGCTATTTGTCCAAACCAGTCAACCGCAGTCAGTGATAACAGGCAAAATTAAGCTGTGCTCGGTTGACATCAGTAAAAATGTGAATCATATCATGACCATATATATATATATATATATATATATATATATATATACACACACACACACCAAAATCACAGTCATCCAGAGGCTGAAAAAAATATGTGAAACAAAAACAACTGATTTCAAAACCAGCAATCACTTAAAAATATAAAAGATGAAAAACTACTTTCACAAATCCAACACATCTAAGCTATTTTTAGCTTGAATTTTTTTTTTTTTTTTTTTTTTTTTTTTTTACTTTGCAATGGTTCATATTTTTGATAGTGAATTGAGAAATTACTGGGCACACAAAAATATAGACTGGGCAGAAAAGTTAATGTTAATATGTGTATTTGAAACAGAAAGATTTGAGTTTTAATTAGCAGACTTAGATGCTTTGCTGACATCAATTATTTCAGCTTCCTGTTACAAACAAAATGGCCACAAAATGCCCTTTAAAGTTAGTTCGGAAACAGAGATTGAAAACTTCAAACAGTAAAATGTCACTAAATACAATAAAGCTTAGAAACCATGGCAACAACAAAGTATTAATCAATAAACACAACAATGAGGTGACATAAAATTCAATTAATGCTGACAACCCCAAAAAGATGATCATACACTTGAGTTTAGTTGTGTATAAACGTGTGGGTGTATATACAAGGGAGTGCTGAAAAGTTCTATAACTGACCCACTTTCACAAGCCAAATGAGCAAACAGATTGATTTTTCTTTTGCTTCTTTTTTTAATCCTTTGGGTCAGGTCAGGACAGCAGCCATCATAGAAAGATCCCAGCCTGTACACAAACTGTAATTGTACTGTTCAACAGAAACGTGCACTCTATGGCTAATACTCATTAGTACCCAGCCTACTGAGTCAGTGTACCAATAGGCTTCATGTTATTTACTTATATCTAATTATTATGTGAGGTTTTATAACATTGTGTTGAAACAACTCTGCAATCTTCAGGATGGCTGACAAAATCAAGCAATGTGTCGGTGTCAAATTTTGCATGAAGCTCAGTAAATATACTACTTAAATTCTCAATGTTTAGTCAGGTTTTTGGCAAATATTCTTTGTTTAACATAGATTTTTAAATGGAACATATATTTCAAGGCCACCTGAATGTCAGCTCATAATGATGAGCATTCAAGACAACCAATCAGTAACAAAATGGTAGTAAGGTGGAAAACAATGTCAACTCATCCATGACAGTTGTTAATTTAAATAGTGTGAAACATTGGTATAATCGTCTACTTTTCTTTTCTTAGACCTAGTCTGGAAACTTTGATACCAGCTTGTATACACACACTTCTCATATCTTTATATATATATATTTATATATATATATATATATAATCCAGTGTTTTATGTTAGACTTGTTATTTTCTTTCCTTACACATATGTGATGAAATCATGCTTAAATTTAAAAGCATCTCCTCTGATACCTGGAGAATGGCCAAAAAGGACGTTTTTAGCTTTCTTTTATTCATAAATTATATATATATAGATTGTGCATTTGGGCAGCAATTTGTTTTTATACAAGTTTCATTAAAGATGACAACTAATCTTAATTGTTGTACCTTGTCACTATGTGTATGTATATATACATATGAGAGAGACACAAACAGACAGACACACATGTAAAATGGAAAAGCTATAAAAGTTGTTAAATGCTTGTTAGTTTTCAGCTACTTCAGGTTAGAATAAAAGACAAAACTGTTTTGTCTTTCATTCAGACCTGAAGAAACTAAAATCAACAGATGTTTTGGCAAAACGTGTGATTTATAGCTTTTCACTTTTGTTCCGGATACTATTATACATCCTAAAAAACATACACAGACATTTTATATATATATATATATATATATATATATATATATATATATATATATATATAAATAAATACTTTTCTATGTCACCAGAATGGCGGCTGGGTGTAAGGTTAGTGCTGGGAGTTGACCTAATTCTTGTGTGGGGTTGGTGTAAGGTCACAGTGAAAGGCCATTTTTGTTGGTTGGTAAGCCTATTCTATAGAATGGGGGTGACGTTAGATTGGCGTGGCTTAGGAGACTAGATGTAGTCAGATTAGCGTTGCGGTAGTGGGTCGATTGGGTCACTTCCTTACAGAATTGGAGTCTGATTTGCCTAGGTGATGGCTTTAGCAATGAGGAAGGCTTGTAGTTTGATGGTACCAATGTGTAGATGTTATCAATATTTGCCAAGGTGACAGCATCATCGACAATGAAGGCTTGTAATTGGGTGGCGTCAAAGCTGGATAATCAGCTGCTTGTGGCTGGTGTTTACCAAGATGACATGGTCAAGATGTTATCAACACAAAGCTGGATAATCGAGGGGGTTAGTCAAGCCTGGGAGTGGTAATTGTTGTTGAGAGGTGAGCTCATGTTGAGAGACAGCAGTGGTGGCAGCAGCACCACCAATTCCAGGCTGCAATTGCTGGTAGTGTTCTCAGAGACCTGCTTTTAAGCAGGCCGGTAGTCCCCAGGGGTATCTCTTTTCCCGCAGAAATGTTTGCAATTGGCTACTGTTGGAGCTCACTTTGTAGACTGGATGTAATGCATGAAGCCTAATGTGCAGAAAACAACTTTTGTTATTTTGTTCCCTGCCTTTGTAGTGTTCACATCCGGCCAGCATGCAGAATGAATCAGAAAGGGATTATAACAGTCTTTTCTTTTTTTTCTTAACATTTCACCCCATGCAAGACAGGAGTGCCACTGGTTTGCAGAGGATTACACAGAATGAAGGTGAGAGAAAAAACTGTGTATTGGGGAAATGAGAAAAGCATAAAAGGTTTCAAGACATCAGAAGATTGCAAATGATGTTGCATTTAAATTTTTGAAGATTGTAGTTATCAGTGAAGCAGTAATAGAAGGAAGTGCAAGAAAAGAAGCTATTGGAGTAGAAGTGGTAGTTACATTAAACTATTTCAATGGTAAAAGACCAGTGATGAGGTTATGCACACATTATTCAGTAGAGCATCAGTTCTAGTGGGGAAATCATGTATAGGTAATCCAGACAAGTTGAGTGTTAAGTTGGATGAGAATTTCTAAGCAAAGCATTCAGCTTTATTTGCTGTGGATGTCAGGACTTCGAATTGGTTGAATAGAAGAGGGATTGAGGATTTGCTGTTGTTCAACACACTCTTGCAGAGTCGCCAATAATCTTTTGAACCAAACTTGCTAGATTCTATATGCTGATTCATTCTATCAGCAAACAGTAATTTGGCTTTATTGAGGATATGTCTGCATTCATTACAAGCAGAAACAAAGTGATGTCTATCGCAGTCAGACTTGTCACACTGGTGCATTTGGAAGAAGTGATTCCTGTGGGCTATAGCAGCTGGACAAGCAGGAGAGAACCAGGAAGATTAATGTGGTTTAACTTGGTATTTCCTAGCAGGAATGAAGGCATCAATGCTGGCTTTCACCCAGGAAGAGACCTCAGCTGCACATTTCTGAATGGGGTGACTAAAAACCACATTTCAAGGAATGTCTCAAAGGAAATCATAGAATGAGTGCCAATCTGCTCATTGATAGCAGAAAGATATTCTGTTAGTAGGAGAGTCATGACAGGGGCAGGGGGAGTGGAAGGAGATGTTTACAGATACTACAGCATGATCAGAATTTCCAAGAGGGCAGAACTGCTTAGTATGACAAGAGTCAGGGATAGAGGTAAAACAGATTGAGAAGAGAGGTGTTTCCGTCATGGTAACTGGGGAAATGTGTGGGGAAGCCAACCACTTGCATGAGTGATTGAGTAGTTAAGAGTTTGAATGTCCAGAGACTTTTCAAAAAAGAATGATTCTACACTGCAGAAGTTGGTATGAATACCACAAATGTTGGAGAAGGAAAAGTTAAGGGTTTAGGTGATTTTTGTTGACCTGGTTTAGGTTTATATATTTGGTTGTTTATAGTCACGAGGTGTTATATTAGTAAGGAGAAGGCCTGCAGTAGTAGTAGCAGTCTATCACTTGATGTGACATCTGCAGAAGGGAAATGGCACAGACTGCAACATAGGTACCTGCAGGGGACACTCTTCCATGTTCAACATGGCACTGCAAGAACCCTGATATTATGAGACTGTTGATAAAGTTTTAATTTGGAATAATTAAGTTTTAACTTAGTTAAAATTTGAATAGTAACTTTCTCATAGCTTGTTAACGCTACACAGCAAGTGGACCGAAAACAAAAAAAAATAGTAGATGGTACGACATCAGAGAAAAAAAATTAACAATATCTTAGTACAAAATTAGTAAAAACAAGTTAAATTTCATAGTAGAGACAAAAAAGGATGTCACTGAATTAAGGGGGAAATATATATATATATATATATATAACATAAGAAATATCCAGTTAACATGAAAATATACGTTACATTTGAAAAAAAAGCGTGACAATTACAAATGGCAAAATTCCTTTGATTGTCATTGGTAATTTAGCCAAAGTGAGTCTGGGAGAATTAAGTTTCATGTTATAGTTGGGATCCATGGGAGGGGATTGGCATATTTATATATATTTATTTTCCTTTTCTAGTTTTATATTTTGGTTCTTAAACCTGCTTATATACAAGATTTTGTCTTTTTCAGAGTTTTAATTGCCTTAAGGTGTCTATCTGGCAGTCTTTGAGATTACAGATGCATAGTCTCGGTGGCAGAACATATATAACTACATTTTCACTAAAACTAAGTATTTATTCTTAGTCATTTTAATTTTTATAAAATATACTTTTAAAAATTATTCTAAAAATTGAATACATGGCTGTGATGGATTCAATGTATTCCACTTGAAGATAGATTACTTAATGTTTTCAATTATTTTTTAAACTTTTACTTTTAGTATTTAACATCAGAGTTAACTCCAATAATAACAACCACGATGCTTACCCATTGAAGTTGACGGTAAAGAATTTGGGCTACCTGTTGGACTTGGTTCTTCTCGTGGAGGAGAATGACTAGCCATATTGATGTACTTAGGATCACTTTGAAGTGTATCATATTGAACAAACTTGCCACTTGTATCCAGAACAAAATCATTTTCAGAATTTACCTGAAGAGAAAAGAAAGGATACAATGAGAACTAAATAATGACAATCTAGTGTTTATTTGAACATCACAAAGTAATTTCACTATTTTTGATTATCTGTTGATGAAAGTATAAATGAATCTTCCATAAAAGACTCATTTATCAAAGACTACTGATTAAGACACAAATAAGATTCTCAGGAATTTGAAAAGCAATATATAAAATAATAATAAAATAATAATAAAATAAAAACTTTTTAAGTTACTATTATCATAAATATTTGGTTAGTACAAAAGTGTTTTTTCAATTAGTAGCATTTGAACATGATTGAAATTTGTGACATATACATATTCAAAGGGTTACATTTCAAAGTGTCTTTCTGTTTGATTAATGTTTGAATTTTAAATATTTTTTTACATTAGAAGAGAAAATTGACAAAAATAAATTGCATTTTTGTCGTGTTGCTTTATTATTTCTGGAAAGGAAAAAGAAAACTGTGCAAACAGCAAAACAGATATGTGCCATAGCTGAGAGTACTATTTATAAGTGGTTCACTAGATTCAGAAATGAAAATTTTGACCTGGAAAACCAAGAATATTTTAGAGGGCCAGCAGTGATTGATGATGACAATGATTGAAATCCTGATTAAAAGAAATAACCCCAGTCATATGACATTGCAGAGATACACCACATACCTCATATTAGCATTGTAAGGTATTTGAAAACACTTGGATATGTGAATTGCTATAATGTTTGGGTGCCTCATGAGTTAGCAGGAATAATTAAATGGACCGCATTTCCAACTGTTATTCCCTGCTCAAATGAAATATTTTTTAAAAGAACAATCACAAGCAATGAAAAATGGTGCGAGAAAGATCATAGGAAAAAAACAAGGTGATGCTGTGCATTTGGTTTGATTGGAAGGGCATTTCTTTTTATTACAAGCTGCTTCTGCAAGATCAGACATTGAATTCAGTTTATTTCCAATTAGATTGATTAAAGGCAGTAATCATTGGTACAGCTTGGCTGAGATGTCCTACTATGCCTACTGTATACCCGACCTTACATCTTCAGATTACCACTTATTTTAATCTCTACAAAATCTTCTGAATGGAAAAAACTTAAATTCTCTTGAAACTTGTAAAAGTCACTTAGACCAGTCCACCATCCAGAAGAAGCAAAATTCTTTGAGGATGGAATCATGAAGTTGTTTCAAAGATGGATAAAATTAGTGGAACAAATAAAACTTCTATTAGAATCTACTACACTGTTTCCTGAATTATATTCTGTTCTGATATCAGCCACATACTTAATCATCAATTTGAGCACACTAAAGTTCACACACTATATATATTTACATCTGTGTTTTGGGCTGCAGTTTCTTACCTTTGAACTAGCTGTGTCACTCAAAAATACTGTATTTCTTCATATCATGCTCACCATAAACCATTTTTAATAAGGCTAACATTTCACAGGCCCTTTTAAGCCAATCTTCACACAAAACATGATGTTAATCTGCTGCTCCAGATTCATTTCATTCATTTTCTGCCAACAGTATAACATGAGCACATGCAACTTCCTCTATTGCTTGTCAACAAATGACTCGCCTGGTCTGCCTATCAAAAAAGCAGAGATTGGAACATGTCTAGATGTGCTCTCTGTAGAAGGTGGCAAGTGTATGCCTGATCTTCAAGAATGAAGGCGATCAATCCTTCCCCTTCCAGTATAAACCCGTTAGTCTCCTCAGTATCATCAGTAAGCTTTTTCAGACCTTAATCAGTAACAAGGTCATCAAGTACCTAGATAAGAACAACCTATTGTGTGATGAGCTGTATGGATTTCAATCAGGCCGATCCATTGCTGACATCCTAACTACCATTACACACAGAATTAATGAGACCCTTGATGACACATACACCACAAGGACCATAGCATTAGATATTGCAAAGGCCTTCAACAAGGTGTGGCACAATGTTTTGCTACACAAGCTCTCCAGCTATGGAATCACTGAAAGGGTTTTCTCAGTTATGAAATCCTTCCTAAGAGGTAGGTCCCTGAAGTTAGTTATTAACGGCCAGTCCTCCAAGGTCCTGGCAGTCAACACAGGCGTCACCCAGGGGGTAACTTCTCAGACAAATCTTCTTTCTGATGTACATAAATGATCTACCTAAGAATATACTCTGATCATTTACAACAATATGTAGATGCGCCTTTAAAACTCTTGATGATCAAAGACTGTCAGCTGACCTCTCTTCTGAACTAACACTTCTCAGTGTGGAAAAAACTGGCTAGTTACATTCAATACCTCTAAGACCTAACTGATTACATTCCATTACCACTGATCTACCACCAGTCATGATAAACGGATGTCCCCTCGAGAATGTCCTATGCCTTGAGAGGATATTGAGTCTCAAACTCACACTCAGCCTCAAGTAGAACTCCTGCATATGATCCATCACTAAAGATGCAGGTAAAATGATTGGCTCTCTGTACCACTTCAGTAAGTACCTGACTCACCATGATATCCTCTACCTTTATAAGAGACAAATTGGGCCAAAAATGGAGTACTGTTGCCATATTTAGGTGGGAGATCTCACTTTCCAGTCTTGATCAAAAGCATCTCCAAACCTTTATTGGAGGTGTCCTGGGTAAGGCGATAAACTACATCCAACAGCAAGGCCTCTGATCAGGAGGTTTTGAGGAGCATGGAACCAGCTCTTAATAACTATAAATTCTATGCTAATAGTTTCTTCTCTCACACTTGCTTGTGGAACTCAGCTACTATCATCAAGAATTTAAATGCAATGTCAATTGTCATCTTCTATCCCTGTGAATTCTGGTCTTTTATTGTCCTGTCTGTTTTTTTTCACTCTCAATAACCCCCTTACACTATAGTGGTTTTTATCACCTTGCTTCAGGTGAAATGATTTCAAAATATAATGAAAATAAAATGCTTGTTTGATTCATTACCCAAGCAAAACATTGCAAATATTCCAAGAATCAAATTGTCATACAAACATAAATATATCCTGAAAGTTTTTTTCACAAAATTGGTTAATACCAATTTTTTTTATGAAAACACTGACTTGCATCATCATATAGATCTATTATATATTTAATGTAAATGCATTACTAAATGAAAATTAGTAAGGAAAGAATTGTAAGTAATTAGAAATTAATAAAACTATTACTGATAAATTGAATGGGTTTATTTTTGTATCAAAATATTAGTTTAATTGATGGATTCATTTTCTATGGCTTGTCAACCCTTTATAGGTTATTTAAAGCCTGAAAATATTTTTTATTTTTTTTAAGATAATAATGGTTTAGTGATATAAGCTTAACTAATTAACCCATAGCTGGTGGGAGAAGAGGTGTATTCATAACTTTTCCAAGGGTATTTGCAACTAAATGAATATAACAAACCAAATGGGAAATTGGAACTTACCTCTCTAATTAACAATTCTGAATCATTATCCATGACAACACCTACTATTCCAAAGTGGTCACCCATCTAGGTACTGACCAGGCTCAATGATCATATGGGAAACCGTGTATCAAAATGATGTGACCATAATCCTAAAAATTAGTTTAAGCAAACACCTCAAGAGTCCAGCGTTTTAAACACCATCTCTTCATATATAGGAAATAAGAATAGGTGAAATTCACATGGCGTATTTATTATATAGCCTGAAATTTTTACCAAGGCCAGTTCATTAATTCCAATTTAATTTTGTAAACATTGAATTGCAAAATCAAATTGGATGTTTTAAATGATATTTTTTTTTTTTTTTTTTTTTTTAAATAGAATGACACTTCACATGAAAATGAATTTCAAAAACTGTCAAATTATAAAAATCTGCAAATTGAAGTTAAAAAAAGTTGGAAACTTAAAACTACAATTATACCTATTGTGATAGGGCCACTGGGTATGTTAAAGAAGGTTACCAAAAATCATGTGAGTAAAACTCATGGACACCTCAGCATCTAAGAGCTGCAAAAGATTACTTTGTGTGGAAGTGCACATATCATCCACAAAATCCTCTCCATCTAAGCAAAATGTCCCAAATATGCATAGATAATAGTGCCCTTTTTACTCATAGACCCTGAGGGTGGACTTAGTAATTAGGCACTTAAAATTGCTCTCTGACAAGATGACACCACATACAATAATAATAAAAAGGAATCTGGTCAGGGAAAAATATTTGATTTGGAACTGCTTGAATTATATGTAATCACAGACTACACGTCTTAGTAATGCACATTGAAATGGTTATAGATTGTTTAAAGTTTAATGTTTCATAAAAGACATGGTCATCTACAAAAATATAATTTTAAGCAATGCCACTTTTATGGTAATCATTTTCCCACTGCACTGAAAATGCACAAGATTTAATGAAACACTTTTACAGTATATGTTCAGCATATTCTATGATTTATATAATTTATATGCTCAACATAGTAACTTATTTAATGTGCAAACTTCTTTTTTTTTTAAGTTATCTTCCAACTTATTGATTTTTCTAACATTTTCACAATTTGTATTTCAGATTGAAAAAATTATTCTAGAAATCAATGTCAATTCATACTTTCTGTTAGAGAAAGTTTGTTCCAAGTACCATAATTTCAAGCTGTTAATATATCTAAAAAAAATTTTCACTACTAATTCAAGAAAAGAATTCTTAGCTTGCATTTGAAAGTATTTTTGTCATGTAAATCTATGATTATGGTCATTTTCCACTCATTTTGTTGGAAACACTACAAATATTAAATACCAGCAACTATTAATATATGCAGACAAAACATCAGCTAAATGAATAGAATACCACCTTAAAATATGTAGACTTTCTACAGTCCCCCAAATCCACAAAGCAAGTATTCCAATGCAACCCCTCATATCTAGAATTAGTAGTTTACCCATTGCACCCTGTACATTAATGAAGCTGTTAACAAATGCTTGAATCTCTTAAAAAAAAACTAGTACAATTCAAAACCTCTCCCCACCAATAGATAAAAACTGTAAA